TTCCTTCCAATCCAAATGGCCACTAGATGGCCATGATGCAAAGCCTCCACAAAATTAGGCAACTCAAAGGAATCTCTAAGTAAACCATTCTCTAACAAGAGTCCAAACATTGCTCAGTGTAACCATGTAAACCCAAATAACTTCAACAAACGAACCATAACTTGCTGGCCGTGCAGCAACACAATTAGAGATGGCTAACTATTTCTTCACTTTCCCTACACATGATGTATACATTGGGTATTTGCGTACTTCTATGTTGCAAGTGGTCATGATAAGGATTTTATACTAAATAGCCAACACATGAAATCTAGTGCTCTAAGTAGGGCCTTACGGTTCCATGCCCTCGCTGTTTTAGTATAGGTAAACTTATCATAAAATGACTTAATAGTAAATTCACCCTTTCTATTCAGACTCTCAATCATACTAAGTCAACTTATCATAAATTGACTTCATAGTAAATTCACCCTTTCTATTCAGCAATGTTTAAAAAACGGTCTGCCCAGCGCCTAGGCGCCCAAAAAAAATTTTCCGCACGCCTCAACCTGGGCGCCCCAACATGGGCAGCTGTACCTGGGCGGGCGTCCAAGCAGGCTAGGCAGGCGCCCAGCGCCCAGCACAGTTTATGTTTTTTTTTTTTTTTTTTAACTTCGTTCAAAAGGGCAAAGGGGGTCATTTTGACCCCCAAGTTAGTATAAAAGAAGTTTAGAGGTTTATTTTTCAATCCCAAACTGAACAAAAACAAGAAACCCTCAATCTTAAACTCATTTATGAGATTCTAAAGCAATTGCTGAGAATCGAAAGTACTAATTGTAGATTGAAAAAGTTTGTTTTTCTGATTGAAATTATTTTTAGGGTGTTATTGATGGTATTAGAGGACTTTTGAGTTGATTCGTAGCTCGATTGAGATAACCAACACCGAAGATCAGAGATTAGGTAGAAAAGATCAATCTGTAATCTTTATTTGAGTTTTATTTTTTCAATTTGAGATGTCTTTTGCGGGGTCTACTAGGGGTAGAGATCCGGGATGGAAATATTGTGTTAACCCTGATAAGAATGACAGAAATAAAATTATGTGCCATTTTTGTGGACATGTTTCTAATGCCGGCATAAATAGATTTAAGAAACATCTTGCCGGTATTAGAGGTGATGTTGCCCCATGTAAAAAAATCCCAAATCTTATAAAGAAAGAAATTTTGGAGTACATTGAAGCTGAAAAGAGTAAAAAAGTCGCAAAAAAAAATGATATAGCAGAATTAAAGTCAGAGGTTCATATTTTTTATGATAATATTGAAATGGAAGACGAGGATGATGAAGAGGAGGAAGAAGAGGTAGTAATGGTTGGTACTCAGAGCTCTATGACCAAGAGGGCTTTTGGGTCCAAGAAGGCTCATACGAGAGGGCCTATAGATAGTTTTTTTACACCTAGCCCTAAGACAGTAATTGAGAAAGGCAAGGAAAAGGGGAAAAAACATGTGACAATTGAAAATAGGTTTAAAAAGGAAGATAGAGTCAGGGTGATTCAGTATATTGCTCGGTGGTTTTACCATGCAGTCATTTCTTTTAACACTGCTCGCTTGAATAGCTTCCATACAATGTTGGAAGCAATTAGGCAATTTGGGCCAGGTTTGAAAGCTCCAACTCCTTATGAGATTGGAGTGCCACTACTGAAGAAAGAAGTCGAGTACATTAATAAATATCTCAACACTCACAAGGAGGGATGGGCTAAATTTGGGGTTTCTTTGATGACAGATATGTGGAGTTCATAGGAGGAGAAGTAACATGAACTTATTAGTAAATTGTCCTACGGGTACAGTTTTTTTGCGCTCAATCGATGCTTCCAATGATGTTCATGATGCACATTATATATTTTTTGTCATTGATAAAGGCATTGAGGAGGTTGGGGAGGAACTTGTAATTCAGGCGGTCACAGATAATGGTGCTCTCAATCTAGCTGCAGGTCATTTGCTTCGACAAAAGAGGCCTCGCATATTTTGGACTCCTTGCGATGCACATTGCGTCGATCTTATGCTTGAAGCAATTCACCAATTGCCTCCTATTAAAGGAATTATTTTTAAGGCTAAGGAGGTTACAATCTTCATATACAGTCACATACTTACCTTTAGCATCATGCGCAAGTTTACAAAACGGAGAGAGCTAATGAGGCATGGGGTCACTAGATTTGTCACTGCCTACCTTAGTCTCCACTGCCTACTTTTGTCTACAGAGCATGTATAAGAGGAGGATCGCATTAAGGTCTATGTTTGCTTCAGAGGAGTGGAGCAGGTGCAAGTGGTCTAGAGATGCCACTTTCGAAATATTTTTAGCATCGGGTGAAGCATGCGATATTAGTATTTCTTCCCTTAGTGAAGGTCTTGCGCTTGGTTGATGATCCATGAGCTTTACATATGATGCAATGGAAAGGGCTAAGAATGAGATTGTAGAGAATTTGGGTAATGATGCAGCGAAGTATGCCCCAATTTGGGAGATTATAGATGACAAATGGGATAGGCAGCTCTATAGATCATTGCATGCAGCGGGGTACTACTTGATCCCCAAATTCTTTTATGCAGATGCAGATATTGAGTCAAAAGGGATAATTATGGATGGTTTTAATGAGTGCCTTGAGAAATTAGTTCCTGATCCAAATATCCAAGATGAGATATCAATTGAAGAGCTAATTTTGTACAAGTGTTCTTTGATGTCATTTGGGAAAGATATGGCATTAAGGCAGAGAAACAAAGATGAACCAAGTAATATTCTTTTGACTTATGTAATTTTGTTTTATAAAAAACAAATTTATAATTTTCTTTCAAGTTCTGATAATGTTAAATACCTAAATTAATTATAAAAGTTGCCCACATATTGCAGCCCAATGGTGGAGACAACATGGGAGTAGCACTCCAAACCTCCAGAAGATGGCTATACGGATCTTGATTTTGACAACTACCTCTTCTGGTTGTGAGAGCAATTGGAGTTCGTTTGAGATAGTATTTTACTAGTTTACAATTTTATATGCTTTTTTTGTTTATAAGTTTATTTTGTAATATAGATTCATAAAAGGTAATAAGATCATAGACCTATTGTAGTTATGCATTATTTTTCCTTATAGGTGCATACAAAGAGAAAAAATAGGCTTGAGCAAAGGAAGCTCAAAGACTTGGTATTTGTTAGAGAGAATCAAAGGCTCAAGGAGAAGACAAACCAGCCAAAGAAAGACCCTATCTCTTCAAAAGACATGGAGAATGCTTCAGATTGTCTAGTTAGTGACCCTAGTACTGAGGAGGTCTACCCTGGGGAGGGTTTGACATGGGAAATGGTCGAGGAGGCTTCGAGGCAAGCTTCTGATCTTAGGAGGGCCACTGGAGCAACTTCTTTTGCTGGTACTTCACGGAGGGAGATAGAGGACGAGGAGACAGATTCAGAAGAATCTCTGGAAGAACAGAAATATGTTGAAGAGGGTGATGATTCTGATGATGATGGCCTCAATTCTGATACAGATGAAAGCAATGAAGATAATGATTCTTATTCTTATTGATGTCTTGATTGTCTTCTCTCTTCTTTTGAAGTAACTTTAATACTTTATTACACCATTTTGGTTTGGGCTTTAAACATTTGGAGTTTGGACGATTTTTTTTTATTTATGTGGTTTGTAATATTTTTGCCTTTTTGGACTATTTCGTTGTGTGGTTTACTAGTTTTTTTATAGTTTTGGAAGTCAGTTTGTTGATGACTTGGAGAGTTGGAGACTTGGATGTTATTATGGTTTATTTTATGGATATGGAATATGGAGAATATGAGAGTTTGAGACCTTACAATAGCCTATTAGACTTTTAAATGTTTTGTATGGTTCGAAATTTTGAATAAGTTTATTCTCAACCTGATTACCTGAGAGGCTGAGACATGTGATATGTTTGTATATAAAAACGTATGTTGCAAACTTGAGATATTTTCAATTTCAAATGGAATAAATTATAAATCTTGACACAAATATATGCATACATGTACATTTGGATAGAAAATATATAAAAAAAACTAAGAATTTGCACCGCAGGGTGCCCGAGGTTCTGGGCGCCAAGCAGGCAGCCTAGCGTTTTTTGAAACCTTGCTATTCAGTCTCTCAATTATACCATCCTCCTTGTTTCTAGGAGTCATAGCTTTCATAAGTGAAAGCATCAACCTACAAGACTCTTTAGCCTTGCTGCTGTCTTGAATCCTTCTTTATCATTGGTTTTTAACACTTGCTACCACTATATAAAGCGTCAGCCAATCTTTGAAACAAAAGACCGACATATTAGAAATAAAAGATCCACCTGCAAGTACCTAGTAATACAATTTGTTGGCATCATAACCTCTAATCGTATATTTATTTGGGTAATTCCCGTTAAAAGAAGAACCATCTAAGAACAAGTGCAGTTGAGTAGACGCAGAAAATAACGACAGAATAGCCTTCTTAGGCACCCGCCTAGGTTCCTCATGGGAACAAATGAGACATAAACAAAGTGGGATTTCACATCAAACATGCATAAAGAAAAAATTACCTAATACCCGGCGCATAAGTGGCTCAGTTCACACCATATTTAACCTTCGATGTTTACACCTTTAAGACATAACCTAGAAAAATAGATGGTGCTAAATCATGCCATAAAATAGCCCAATGAACAACTTCCGTCATGCAATCATGCAAATTAGGTGATGATGCACTCTAACTTCAGAATAGATCTACTGTATGCAGATATCATGTAAAGAAATTTAAATGTATTTTTTCAGGGAATTCAAATGTATATGGAACAATTGTAGCATGTAGCATTCGTTTCCTAGGACACCATACAGAATCTTGAGACTTACACAGAGGAAAGAGGAGAAAGAAACTTTAAATAAGAAAAAACAAAAGGCACATAAAATATAAAAAGATACCTAAGAGAAATGGAAAAGGAATAAAGAAGGGAGGGCCAGGTTCCAGAAGGGGAAAAAGTATGTAAGTCCAGTTCTAAAGAAGATACCTGGAGGCGATGGAGAAGAGAGCGGATGCAGAAGAAATACATATGGTGAAGACGAAGAAAATGGTGGATTTGGAGGGCCTGAGGCTCCTAGCAGTGAGAGCCGCAGATAGGAGAGGGTTCTGGTAGACGCTGAAATTAATGGGATTTGTCTTCTTCTCTGCTTCCATGGCGAGCTATGAGGAAGTGGAGAGCAGTGTGGTAAGATTAAGAAAATGGAACTCAGAGAGTGTGGCAGACGAGAAAATGGGATCTTGGAAGAGCAAGGAAAGTAGCCGCTCTGCGCGGACAACTCATTTGACGTTCAAGCGCCAATTCCCTCTACCTACGAAAAATATTATAGATATTGCGGATCATGGAGCACTTATTTCGGGGCAAAATAGACGGACAAATAATTCGTCACAGTATACACTAATTTTTTTCACAGCCATAATTTTCAAAATCGAGATGATCGATGCAGAGGTTTTTCGATGCTTGAATTGGAATGCACAATGAGTTATGAAGTGAGTCTTTATGCCTATCAAGCATTAGTCGTGGGAGAACAAAGGCGACACAGGGGGATAGGG